CAGTGGTTAGGGTGCAGTACTGCAGCTGCTAGTTTTGCAGCTCAGCTGTTCAAATCTCACCGGCTCAGGGTTGACTCAGCCTTCCATCCTTCCAAGGTGGGTAAAATGAGGACCCGGATTGTTGGTGGGGGCAATATGCCGACTCTGTAAACCGCTTAGAGAGGGCTGAAAGCCCTATGAAGCGGTATATAAGTCTAACCGCAATAGCAATAGCAGTTAGACTTATATAGCAGTTAGCTTCATAGGGCTTTCAGCCCTCTCTAAGCGGTTTACAGAGTCGGCATATTGCCCCCAACAACAATCCGGGTCCTCATTTTACCCACCTTGGAAGGATGGAAGGCTGAGTCAACCCTGAGCCGGTGAGATTTGAACAGCTGAACTGCAGAACTGCAGTCAGCTGAAGTAGCCTGCAGTGCCGCATTTAACCACTGCGCCACCTTGGCTCTAGTCCTGGAGTCCTGGAGACTAAATCATATCACAAGAGGCTGCAGGATTTGGGCTTGGCTAGTCTAGAGAAAATAATTAGGGGTGACATGATAGCAGTATTCCAATATTTGCAGGGTTTCCACAAAGAAGAGGAGGGGGTGTCAAAGTATTCGTCAAAACAACCGCTGGAAACTAATCAAAGAGAGAAGCAACCTGTATTTAAGGAGAAACTTCCTAACAGTGAGTACAATTAATCAGTGGGACAGCTTGACTTTAGAAATCGTGAACGGTTCATCACTGGAAGTTTTCAAGAAGAGACTGGCCGGTCTGAAATGGTACTGGGTCTCCTGCTTTAACAAGGGGTGGACTAGAAGACCTCAAGATCCCTTCAAGCTCTATTCTGATTGATTGATTTATAAGGCAAATGTTCCTCATCAGGATATCTGATGAGGATATCAGGATAGCATCAGGATATACGATCACCAGCCTCACCCCGCAACTTCAGTTCGCACAAGCAGAAGCGGCGCTGCTACAACCTATATTCCTTTCCTCTCCGATCACGTGTAGCGGGCGGAGCTGTGCCTACGCTACTTATCACAAGCGGAAGCTGGGCGGCCTGGCCACTTTTCTTGGATGGGGTGCTGCAGGCGCCGTTTCTGCTTAGTAGTACGCTGGCTACGTTGTGATTCATGGAGCAGGGAAGCCTGGAAAAAGAGCCTTTGTTGCCACCTCCTCTACCAGGGGCTGCCAAGCGTCACCGGCTCTACTCGGGCAGGAACAGCGGAGACCTGGAGGATGATGGACACTGCTGCGTGTCCGCGGCCTCCTCGCCTCGTTCTGGCGGGCCTGGTGAGACCCGGGACAATTGGGAGTGCCTGTTGGGCTGCTTCTCAGTACTGGGAGGAGCTGGACGCTGCAGACCGAGGAAGGCTGGCGATGGAAATTTCAACCCCCCCTCGCCGCTCTCCCAAGCCAGGGCTTGATCAGAATGAGAGCTCCGGGGGCTTTCGAATGAGTTTAGGATCCGATTCTTAAAAATCGTAGGTGGGATATCGGATGCCAGGTTCCAGGTCAAGTAGGGAGACGGGGATTGCTGGTCCATGGGTGTGTGTGTGTGTGTTGATTTTGCAGACCCACTGCAAAGTAAGTTTGGATGTGTCTCCCAGGTGTACGATTAGGAGTGCTGAGAGTTTTCGTTTCTCTCTTGGTCCTGGAGTGGATCACAGAGATTCAGTTTAGGATTGCATGGAACAGTTCGGTATGTGTGCATCAGAACAGAGTCCCAGGTTCACCTAATGCCCAGAGCCAATAGGTGATATGTTCTGAGTTAATTTAGCCTGTGGGACGAACCTGGCCGTTGGACATATGTGTAGGGGCAACCACATGGGATCAGATAGACTGGTAGCTGTGAAGATGGAGCCAAGGAACAGGGCACTTTTGCATGGTGCAGTGAAACAGCAGCTGCGGGCACCTGGAGTGATGTTATGGAGTAGATTCCAGTGTTTCTCAACCTGTCAGAGGAATTTTGGGAATTCACATATCTTAAAGATGCCAAGATTGAGAAACACTGCCCTAGATGCTTTGGATTTGCTGTGACATGCGATTAAAACCTGGTTCCTTCAATCATATCCTCTATTTCTTTCTGAGTTGTTTTTGTGAACAGAACAGCATTCTTCACGCACAAGAGGGAGGCATCAGCTAAGATCTATTTTGGTGGGGAAAGGCAGGGATCCTCAAAAGCTTTAGTACTACAAAATATTATTTCTGTTTGTAGGAAGCAGTGGGGGGGGGGATGTCCAGAAGTGGAACTCAAGACTGAAAATGCTTAGAGGACTGATTTGTTGGTTGGGAGGCAATAGAATACAGGAGGACTAGATTATGCTAGAAGAGAATGGAGACTGTAGCTACCTGAAACTATGAACAGGAGCATTTCACACTGCAGTCTGCTTCTTCAGATTATACTCCTTACATACTTACAAAGCCAATATTGTAAGCTGAGAGGGGATAAGAAAACCTCACTGGCAGATCCCATTTTTAAAGGAAACCTCAGAAAAGTTATTTAAGAGTTGCTAAGTTGCAGTTGCTAAGTTAATAACCCGGTTGATAAGTGAATCTGGCTTTCCCATTGATTTTGCTTGTTAGAAAATCACATGACCTTGGGACCTTGGAGCCATCATAAATATGAACCAGCTGTCAAACATCTGAATTTTGATCACATGACCATGAGGATGCTGCAAAGATTGTAATTGTGAAAAACGGTCTTAAGTCATTTTTCAGTGCCATTGTAACTTTGAACAGTCACTAAATGAACTATTGTAGGTAGAGGACTTGCCTGTACTTTTAAAGGCTAAATTTTAGTTGGAGCATCTGTACATTTGTTCTCCTTTTCCCAATGTGATGTTCTTCAGCTGTGTTGAATTATGGATTCCATCCCCTTCATCCCTCCATCCAACTTAAAAGTTTGCATGCTTCTAATTCCCAAACAACATTCATACAAAATTGTTGTTATTTGTTATGTTCTATAAGACTCAAATTGAGAATAAATTTGGCTGTTAGACATAATTGCCCTCTTTCTAAATACTCTTGGAGACTGGGAGATCATAGTAATCAGTTGGGAAGTTTAAGTAATGCACAAGAGTAGTGTTACCAACCACACATTGCTGAAGAAAGTAATCCTTATCTAAGACACAAGATCACATTATATTTTAATTGATGTTCTTGCGGTGGAATCAGTCACTGTAACTGCTATCTATCAATCTCATGAAGTCTTTGGTGACTGTTTTATAATTATTGAAACTCTGATAAAGCCCTGTCCTTTTGTAATCACATCTTTCTAATTAAGATAATTTGTTAATAAATCGTCAGATTGCTGAAAAATAGTCTTTTATTTTCATGCTGTGAGAGTTACTTTGCCTATAATATTTCTGAAAATCTACTCCAAAGTCTTCCATTACCATGTAACAATTGTTTTTAACATATATTGGAAACATAGATAGTAATGGCAAGGACGGGCATCATGGTTTCAGAGTGATGTGGCCTTTACACAATTCAATCAATACATACCTTGACTTTGTGATAGAACACAGAATTGTTCAATGGTAAGGCTGTAGACTTTCTTAAGACTGATTGGTTGATGCCTGTAGCATTTCTTCTTAGTCAAAACAATTTTGTACTTAAAATGCTATTTTAAAATATTAATTGAGTAGTGAGTGAGTGGATAAAATTCTTTACAGAAATGTGAAACATTACTGTTAGAAATGTGATGCAAAATGAAGTTTCTAGATTAGAGAAGTGGTTGAAAATAAAATAACAATTATAAATGACAGATGTAAAATTCTTTACTTAAAAGAGTAATATACTTATGAGTAGAATCATGATACCTAGATGGTTTACAGCCTATGAAAGATTTTGGAATAGTAGCTGAGTGCAGAATGATTGCAAGTTAGCCTCGTGATGTGGCTATTCAAAAATTCAAAAGACAAATATAGTTTTTAACTGAAACAACATAAATAGTTTTCAAACCAAATTGGTTTGCAGTGGTTGGATCTACTTCCTTTTAAAGATTCAAAGAAGGTGGATCAGGTTCAGAAAGGCAATGGAGCTAATTAGGAGATATTAAATCCTGTGAAGAGATTGAAAGAATGGGCAATACAGGTAATCCTTGATTTGTAACAGTTCTTATTAAGTGACCAAATTGTCATTAAATTTGAATGTTCAAAGTTAAACAGCTTTGAAAAAAGTGACTTACGATTGTTTTTCACCCATTTCAGGATTCCCATTGTCACATGATCAAAATTTATACACTTGGCAACTGACTCATATTTATGACAGTCACAATTTGTTGGGGTCATATGATCACCTTTTGCGACCTTCTGATAAACACAGTCAATGGAAAAGCTAGATTTTAACTGTTGCAGCATTCCCATTGTCACGTGATCAAAATGTATATGCTTGGCAACTGACTGATTTAAGATGGCTGTAGTGTCCCGGGGGAGGGGTCATGTGATCACCTTTTGTGGCCTACTGACAAGCGGAGTCAGTGGAGGAGCCCAATTCACTTAACCATATTACTAATTTAACAGCAGCCATTCACTTAAATGTGGAAAGAAAGTGCATAAAATGGGGGGAAACTCACTTAATAATTGCCTCGCTTAAGCAAAAGGAATTTTAGGTTCAATTGCGGTTTGAAGTCGAGAACTACCTGCGTTTAGTTTTGAGAAGAGAAGACTGAATGGCATATGATAACACTCTTTCAGCATCGAAGTGGGTCATCAAAGACAGAATACAGACTTAGGGATTTATTTTTCAGGAAACCAAATTCCAAGTGAACATTCAAAAACTTTTCCTAATAGAACATTTTGATAGTTGGAAGCAGGTGTTGTATGGAAAAAGAAGTTGGCCTTCCAATTGAATTATTCAGTTAAGGATAGGCCAGCTTAGAGTAAAGTCTCTCATGATTTTACAAGATGGAACAAGACTGAGCCACTTTTTCCTTTGCTGGTAAACATACCTGTCAATTCCCTTGTAAAACTGGAACAAATTAAAGCTTTCCACACAGTTTGGCAGGGAGCTTTTTTGTATATTATTACATCTATTGTTTACGCCTTGTTGATGATGGAATTTATTTTTCAGAGAGGACAAGGAGACACGAGGTGTTTCCCTACCTGTCATTTTTTTCTACAATTTGATAAATAAAGGCCTGTCTAACAACTTTTTCCCCCTTTAAATGCATCCTGCCTCTAAGACTTGGAGTAAATTTTTAGGAATATATTTATGAACTAACCAGGCGTTGCCCGGGTATTTATTTATAGAGGGAAAATGTCCAGACCAAACGTAATTTCTAATGTTGGATTTCCCCTTACCAGAGGGAGCTCTCTTGTGGAGTACTGTGAATCTGTTACCATGGCAACTCCACTGTGCTGTACAGTAGAATCCCTTTTATGACAGTACAGTAGAAACCTTTTTAAGGGACAACAGACTGTATCTTAACAATACACACAGACCAAGGGGTGTTAGGGCTGTCTTACCCCCCACAGTATTTTTTTCCAGAGTGTAAGTCATCTGCGTACCAAGTTTGGTTGAAATTGCTTGAGACATTCCAGAGTTATGCTGAAACACACACACAGACACACACACACACAGACACACGCACACAGACACACACACACAGACACACACACACAGGCGCGCACACACACACAGACACACAGCCATTTTCATATATATAGAAGAAGAAGATCACATTAACATTGTAGGGAGACAAGAGTTCAACTCTGTCTCTTTAGATGTTTCATTCTCAGCATTCCATAAGAGGTATTTCCTGGAATTGTTTCTAACAGTTTGAAACGGTCTTGCTTAATACTTTAGCAGAGCGATGTTTCTGATCTCCTGTGGTGATTTCCTACTGATTTACCAATTGCTCTACTTATCTACTTATCCTAGTTATGTAGCTACCAATAAACACATATTTGTTGGGGTTAGGATATACTGAAGTTGCAGAGAATAAAGCAACAAGATGAAGTAATATGTAATTTGTTGCGATCTTCTGTTACAAATGATGCTTCTTTCATATGATTTCCTTTGATCTTGTAGAAGAGGCCAACAGTAAACCATCTGCACAAGGTGGTTTCAAAACCATCTCAAATTATATTAGGCTATATTCCCAAGCAGTTTTCTTAATCATATGGAACATGAACGTTCAAATCTTTTAAATATATACGGTGATTATGGGCATAAAACTTCCAAATTGGTCTAATTTGGTTGACAGCTAGTTGAGAAAGTTCTTTAATACACATCTCAGCATGTTTTTACACTTTTTATAAAGTAACGGTGTGTTCATCAACAATGCAAAAGACATTGTATAAATCATTGCTTTGCCCGCTCCCTAATTCTCAAATACACCTAAGGATCAACTTGTATGGAATTTTCTGTTCTTAAAAATTGCAAGACTACCTTTGTCTTTTTCTTGATGTCAGTCAACAGAAGGGTGTGGAGTTTCTCTTCCTCATTTTTTAAATTGTTCCTTGAAATAGCTTTGAATCGTTAAGGTACGTTAGCTAATATGTTTGAACACTGCCAAATAAACAAAAGAATGTCATTCTATAATTATTTTACAACCATTGTTTTTTTGAATCTTGCAGTTATTGATGACCCTCACCTCTACTTCAACCAAGCTGTAGTATTCATCGAAGACGCAATTCAGGTAAATGTTTACCTGATACACACACACACACACACACACTGGTCCTCCTAGTGTACTGTTTTAAGTAAAAGACTGCTAGTAAAAGCTCCAGTACTCTTCTTTCCTGCTGAAATGTTGATTTATACTTCAAAGTTTATGAGTAGATTTATCATCTACAACAGGGGTGTCAAACTTGTGGCCCATGGGCTGTATGCATCATGTGCTGGCCATGCCCACCCATGGTTTAGCAAAGGCGATATGTCACGTAATGATGACATGTTGTCGTGAGTTTGACACCCCTGATCTATAACCTCAGATAATTCAGAATATTTGTAAAAAAAAAATCACGTGCATGTTGGGTTTTTACATCTTTGAACAATATGGGTACTCCTCAACTTACGACCACAATTGGGAACAGAATTTCTGTTGCTAAGCAAGGCAGCTGTCAAACGAGTCACACTTAATTTTTCAACTTTATTGTGGTTCTTAAGCGAATCTCTGCAGTTGTTTAAGTGAATCACATGGTCATTAAGTGAATCTGGCTTCTCCCATTGATTTTGCTTTCTGGAGCTCACTGGGAAGGTCACAGGTGGCAATCACATAACCCCAGGATGCTGCAAATATCATAATCACAGGCTGGTTGATAAGTACTCAAATTTTGATCACATGACTGTGAGAATGGTGCAACTGTCATAAATGTATGGACCAATAGTAAGTCACTTTTTCGGGGTTGTAATTTAGAACAGTCACAAAATGAATGGTTGTAAATCGAGGACTACCTGTAGTGATGGCATAGCTTCATGGCATAGCAATGGTTATGACATTGCTAGTAGCAGTGAGTCATTTATTGGATGGGCTTCCAATCAGTTAATAGGACTTTCTCTACCTTCAGAGGCTTTTCAAAAAACGATATGGGAAAATTGTGGCAGAGATGCCATTTGGCTGCCAGAAGGACCCTGTTTCTTTACGAGATGGGTGGCAAATTTAATAAATAAATGAAACTCACAGAAACTCTGGCCTTTTGTAAATATTCTGTAAACATGTAAAAAAGAAAGCTCTATCTGAAATGAACTAAAACAGAACTGATACATAACTGCATGTTTCATGTTTACAGAATGTCTACTTTGGCCCAAATTTGTCTAGTCATTAATAGATGTTTCCTCAATAGTGTTTACCTATAAAACTTTTAACTTCCATACTTGAAGAGAAAATTAAAAGTGATGCTTGAATCACCTCTCTTATCTTTCACCTCTTTAGTATCGTTCTATAAATCATCGTGTGGACTCTAACTCCTTGTGGCTTTATCGGTGGTATTATTCAGAAGTTTGCCAATGGTGAGAACTCCCCCACTCTCAATGATGTTCTGTTTCTTTGAGTAGATCAGCTGCTTTTTCTAATCCCACAAATCCTTACTGCTGCTTCTAGTTTTCAGTATTTTAGTTTTTTGCTAATTGCTTCTCTGTCAAAGACTTTTAAAAAATATGAGCCGTTTCTGTGAGGACAGAGTTGAGCTGCAGGTTTTAGTGGTCTAGATCAGGGATCGGCAACCTTAAACACTCAAAGAGCCACAAATATCCTAACCAGAAGCTCTCCTTTCAATTCTGCAGCTGACTGGAAGTCTGGTTTCCCCCACCATAGAGTCTTCTCCTAGCGCGGTGTCCTTTTCCCTCTTCCTGTACTAACTGAAAGCCCTATCAAATGTGGAGCTGACTGGCAACAGGGAGCCAGAGCAGAGGGATGAAAGAGCCCCATGCGGTTCCAGAGCCGTGGGTTACTGACCCCTGGTCTAGATAATAGGACAAGACAATAGATTTCCTGATGCTTTGCTGGCAACTCTAGCTGGCATCTTCAGGTGATCTGTTGCCACAGGCAGATGAGCAACAATTGGCTGAGCCTTTATAAAACATGATGAGGCTTTTGCCAACTGAATTATATTTTTCCATGAAACAATGTTTTAGAAAACACATATTCCTTTATCACTTTATGACATGAAACATTTTGGAAAATGAAATTTTGGCCTTTACTCTTCCTTAATTGCCACACGTTGCCTGAGAGACCGCCTCCTGCCGATCACCTCCCACAGACCGATTAGATCTCACAGGTTAGGTCTTCTCCGGATTCCATCTGCCAGCCAATGTCGGTTGGCGACTCCTCGGGGGAGAGCCTTCTCTGTCGCAGCTCCAGCCCTCTGGAAAGACCTCCCCGTGG